CTTTCTGTCCGTGTGCTTTGGATGTGTGCACTCAGAAAACCGTATATCATAAGTTTAAACTAATATGGTTTAAAACGCATGATTTCAGCGCGATAAACATGATAATTAGAACCAAAACAGATGTTTTTAGCAGATACGAGCTGTAAAGGCGCAGCTCTATTCTGGAAAAGGGGGCGGGGAGCAGCAGCTAATTTGCATTTAAAGAGACATGCTCTAATACAGCGTGCTTCTGCTTCCACTCAAAATATGCATTTTCAAAATGATATAATAAATGATCTGTGGGGTATTTTGAGCTGAAACTTCACAGTTACATTCTGGGGACCCCTGAGACTTATATTACATATTGTAAAAAGGTGCATAATATGCCACCTTTTAATGTCCAGACTTGTTTATTGCTATTTTGATTTTATGCCACAAGAGGGTGTGATGGCTCTCATGATGTACAACAGAGACTAATCCACAGCAGTTGGTCTGTTAGAGCGTCTGATGCTGATACATTTAATGAAAGACACACTCAAGACTCTCTTAAAAAGAGTCTAACATTGTGTTTTTATTCAGGGCTCCCTGATAGATCGTGAGGCCAGTGACAAAGAGAAGGTAGGACGTCAGTCCAGATCTTTTTTCAAAGTTACCTGATGCAACATCAGACACAATTCTGACATTCTTACTACTTCTAATGCAGGTAAAAGAACTGCCGACTTTTAAAGACATGGATTTCAGAAATAACATGCAGAAGGTGTACGTGACAGAAGAGCAGAAAGAGAAGATTATGGAGAAACTAAACCGAGATGTAGAGGTAAAGACTTGTACTTTTAAAAATGTATATGTCATGATGAACTGTAAAAGGTTCTAAAATCCCTGCTCCTCATGTTCCTGTGACGATAGTTCCTGGTGAAGCTGAAGATAATGGACTACAGCCTGTTGTTAGGCCTCCATGACGTGGCACGTGGCGAGCGGGAGGAAGAGGAGGCCGAGGAGCCCAGCTGTGAAGATGACACTGATCCTGAAAACGGCCTTGCTCCGGCCGTGCAGGTGGGCTCGTACGGCACGTCGCCAGAGGGCATCGCCGGTTACATGAACTCCTTCAAACCCCTGGGACCTGGAGAATTTGACCCTTACATTGATGTATATGCTGTCAAAAGCGCCCCAGGTAAGTTCTGGCTGGTAAAACGGAGAGGAAGTTGAGGATATGGAGGGGAAACCACATGTGTTTAGCATGCATGGAAGAGGGAAGCGGGAAAAAAGGTCATATGCGTGTTTGTGTTGGATTCCAGGAGCGCCACAGAGGGAGGTGTATTTCATGGGCCTCATTGACGTGTTGACGCAGTACGACACTAAGAAGAAAGCTGCACACGCTGCAAAGACCGTTAAACATGGCGTGAGTGGAAAAACTATTTTAATGCACGCTCGTCCAGCATAATTTGCTTAATTCTAACTTGTATGAGGTTATAATAACATGACTCATCCTGTTCCTCCCTTTCAGGCTGGTGCTGAAATATCTACGGTTCATCCAGAGCAGTTAATATTATTAGGTTAGGTGATATTATTAGTTTTTATTTATTTATAGTACAAATGGAAGTATTTCTTATTTTAAAAAATTTTTGTTAATACAATTTTCTATATTTTGTGTGTATGTATTTACTGAGTGTGTGTATATATGCGTGTATAAATGTATACATACTATATATATATATATATATATATGCATATACATACACACATTTTGCATTATTATAATGAGAATTTGGAGGGGAAATGTGTTTTATTATAAAAATAAAGTCTGAATTTTACAAAATCTTAATAGTGTTTAATAGATTTAATTTTTTTTAAGCAAAATATAATATTTTAGTTTCTTTTTTTTTATTCTAGGGTGACGTATGCACCGTTCTTCATGTGCGTCACTTTCAGGCTGGTGCTGAAATATCTACGGTTCATCCAGAGCAGTATGCCAAACGATTCCGTGAATTCATCTCCAATATTTTTGCATAACCACTTCTGGGTGTCTTTAGCAACACTTCAAGGTCACATTTCACCCCAAAATCAAAAGAAAAAAAAAATAATATTTTGCATAAAGAAATTAGGTCTATTTTTAGGACCGTTAAGTTATTTTTCATTGTGACATTATTTTTATGACAATAAACACATATGCCCCTGTTACTATAATATGTCCAAATGTATTTTTTTTTTTTGTGATTCTCATTGCAGTAATAGTTTTAATAAAATTATTTTTTGTCTATATATGTGTGTGTATATGTATATATGCACACAGATAAAATGTATTATTAATTATATATATATATAATTTGGAGGGGAAATGTGTTTTATTATAAAAATAAAGTCTGAATTTGACAAAATCTTAATAGCGTTTAATAGATTTAATTTTTTTTAAGCAAAATATAATATTTTAGTTTCTTTTTTTTTATTCTAGGGTGACGTATGCACCGTTCTTCATGTGCGTCACAGGTTTTGTCAGATTCACGCAACATGTTTTTGCAGTCTCTGTATACTGCCGTCACATAGGTTGATTTTTTTTTTTTTTCCTCTCTTGGCTGTGCTTCATTTTTTCATATATTTTCATAACATGTTATTTAAGTGCAACATGTTGACAGGAACTAGACTTTCTCATCCACACTACATCTACATTCATTAAGTTTGTATTCACAAATGAATAACACTAGAATAGATTCACATGAAATCAGCTCGTGGCACAGCCTACAAACATGGGAGCATTGCCTAATCTGTTATGGAGACATAACTCCAAACCTGTAGCAGTGACATAATGTGTTCTTGGTATGTTCTCTCTCTTTCTTTGGACTTTGGCTTGGCAGAGAGAGAAACCTTTGCCTTAACCGCTTGCAGAACCGATTGTGGAGAATAGCAGAAACTCATGTTGTCCAATGCTTTAAGTGCACGCTAGCTTCACTTGAATTACGCAGCACTAGAATGTTGTGAGGAGGATGACAAGATAAAATACTTATTAAAAAAAAAAAATACACACACACACACACAAACCAACCAGCCGTTGACCCTAAGTGTACAATAAGGGTCCAGATTAAAGTAGTAATATGAATTGAATGCTGACTGTTTATATTGATAGATGGAGCACACACTCGTCTCTTATTTGAGCTATTTTATGCAGTTAGCCTTAATGCAGAAAAGAGGAGTTTTGTAGTATGTAGTAGAAATATTCTACCAACACTGAGCTGATTTAGTATGAAATGCCTTATTGTTGCATTTGATTTATTTTGCAAATCAGTGTTTGAACCAAATATATTTTTCAGAGATTTCCAAAAACATGGTTTCTGTTATTTATTCATTTTAGGTTTGTACAATTGCAATTGGCACAATTACAGTATGTCCATAATAGTTGTACTTGAAATGGTATTTTTAGAGCTGTTTTAACACCTTAAGATGTTACATTAAGACAAGTTGTTACATTGTGTTCACATAATGCATGTAACGACTGTAATTACCAATAATGTGCATTCCTAAGTACAATAAAAAAAAAATTTCTTATATATTGGGTGAAACAAGTTGAGTCAACATTTACATATGCATGAAATTTGTATATAGTTTCAGTCAACATTTGGACTTCTACTGTTTGTCCATTTGTTAATTGGACTGCCAAGAATTAAAGGGTTAGTTCACCCAAAAATGTAAAAAATTAGCTTGTGTTTTACTCACCCCCGAGGCATCCTAGGTGTATATGACTTTCTTCTTTCAGACGAATCCAGTCGGAGTTATATTAAAAATTGTCCTGGCTATTCCAAGCTCTATCATTGCAGTCGGCGGGTGTTGCAGTTGAACAGTCCACAAGTCGTCAAATAAAGCTCGCGCATTCATAATAAAACGTGCCGCAGACGACTCCGGGGGATGAATAAAGGCCCCCTGTAGCCCCCCTTTTTGTAAGAAAAATATCCATATTTCAAACGTAATAAACACTTTTCTCTCACTTCTGTTATCTGTCATACGCGGATCCGTTCCGGCGGAAGGCGTATGACGTATGCGCAGCACACGTGCCTCTGAGATATGCTAGTTTGTTTAATAGGAGCAAAGGAAGCAAAGTTTCCTTACTTTAGCAAAGGAAAACCAGTCTCCTCTTGGTTTATATCGAAATCCTCTGACATTTTTCTTTGCAAATCTTCGGTTTGTACTTCTAATTCATGACCGGCGTTTTGTTTTGTTCTCTCTCCGCATTCTTCACTAATCACGCAACGCCGACGTGCTACGTCATCCGCCGGAACGGCTTCCACGTGTGACAGATGACACAAGCTAATTTTCATTTTTGGGTGAACTAACCCTTTAAGAAAAATCGATTGCAAATGCAATTTTGAAACAGTTTCATTAAAACTGGAGGCCATTCACTGAATTAAATTTAAAATGTAATTTCTATATAGCTCATGATAAGCTTCTATTTTTACTGTAGCTGATAAACTTTGAAAGAATTGAGGTTTCTGTAATTTAGCCGGGGCCTCCGAGAGGTCAAGGACAGGATCCACCTAACAATGGGGAGCGTGCAGGGGAAAAAAGCTAATCATCCAGCAAACTGCTGACGAATTCTTGTGGTTGTAGGAGTAGCTGGAACACGGAGTTCAGGGCGTCACATTCTCCTCAAGGCTTTTCATACTGTGCTGGGTTAAGGTCATATTTTACCCTCAGTTAAGTAGGTTAGCACATTCCAGAGCAGTATTAGAGTAAAAGCCAATCATAAATTAAATATACATAGAAAACTGAGGGTCAATATTCATACATTTAAAAGTGAAAATACAAAATAGGCCTCATTTTGAACCAATAGTCTCTGATTTATTTCAATAACTTTTTTTGATTTTGATTTAGCAGATACTACTAATATTTTTGTAGTGTATGTGCACTTTCTGGCATTGCATTTGAGCAAAATTATCCCATAAAGCAATGTGCTTGGCCCGACCTTCCATTTCCAAATAATGAACTATAATATCAGCCATGATTTTTACCACTTTTTTGTTTACTCTTATTTCATTGGACTGCCAAGAATTAAGAAAAATCGATTACAAATGCAATTTTGAAACAGTTTCATTAAAACTGGAGGCCATTCACTGAATTAAATGCACCCTAGCAAGATCACCTGTATGACGTTACTGTAACATACAAATGTTTGAATTATCAGTCAATGCTTGTTTAAGAAATATTTTTCAGTATGCAGTGTAGTGCATATTTTTCAGTAAGCTAGTATTTAATTCTGAACAGCCATATACACAGGAATATATTTTTACATTTGTAAACACGTATGTAATTGCCCATTGAAGTGATTTGTTTATTGTATAATTCACACAGTAATTTGTTCTACTCATATTTCATGAATTATGCCCTTTGTTGCTGACAGACTTGCTATAAATGTCATTTTTAACCCGAGTCGTGCGGTACTGCTAAGAGAGTGTTCAAAAATGTCTAAACACTGAAGCCAACCCAAGCAAGCAATCAACCCAACCACAACATTTCAAACATTTGTTCTTTGAAGCCAAAAGCTGCTACGTAGAAATGGATGTCTTTAAATCAGATTAGATTAGGAATCAGTTTGTAGTGTTCTCGAGTGTGTGCACTTCTGGAGCAGTTGCTGAAATTGTCAGAGGGGGATGACGGGGGTGTTGTGAGGGGGGTTTGATGTACAGCTGGCTTCCTACCTCTCTTGCTCTGCCTGCCACTCACTGCCCTTCGACCACGAAAGCATTTCCTGCTATTGTCCTGCTGGGGGCTGTGTTTTTTCAGCATATCAGGCACAAACCAGCTAAAAAAAAAATTTCCTTTTAGACTTTCAGAGCTGTGAAAAGATTCTCTGGAAAAAAAAAAAAACACTGTGAAAAAAAACATACAGAGCTCAGGGCCAAAAAGATACAGGTTTATCTTTCTCTTTTCGTGTTCAGATCAAAGCAGTCAATCCACATATATCTAAATAATTCGCAGTTGAGCTGTGGTGCAGCAAGCTAAATAATTCATAATCATAAATAAAAGGCACCTATTGTTAATAAAACAAACTTGAACAACCAGTTTCTGGTTTCTTAAAATAACCACGCAACTTATTTAGAATACATTTTTGTGATGTTTATTTACAGTTGTTGTTTTTTTTTCAATTCAAAACCCATTTGCTTTAGAGGCAGAATTAAAATTCCATATTGTAGTATTGATAATATTGCTTCTTAATTATAAATTGTTTGTTTTTGCCTAATTTGCATGTAGATCAAATGAATATGCTAATGTAAATCCTAATGTATCCAATATCCACTTTATTTAAAAATGCTACTTAAGTGCTAAATTTAGATGCACTGCAGTTGTTTAAAACAGTGAATATCACTCCAAACACATTAGCAGACCTCACACAACCTTTCCTAAAGTTGATTTTTTGTTTATAACACAACATTGGCTGAATTCATAATGCTGTTAGCAACCAATGTGCCTGCTCATTAGTACAGATTTGCTGTGCTTTGGGTAACGTGTAACATATGCACCCTGGAGCTTGTTCTAATCCTTATTTTGTTGTTGCACCACACCCTTGTGCAACTACTTTAATTCCCTCTTGGCTCCATGCGTTGTTTAGACCAGTGCTCTGAGAAAAACAAACATTCTCTCTGGTTATATGGATGATATTATCTGCAGTCAAAAGATTCTTGGAGTCTTTCCTGTCGGATTCAACCCCCTCCTGTCCTGTGAGGATGTCCTGTCAGTGTGACGGTGGAGCAACCAGGCGCGTTAGAGGGAGAGGGTAGAGCTTATTTTGCCCTACAGCCCAATGTATGGCTAGATCCCACACTACGTTCCAGTCAAGCAAAGCCTCCAGTGATATTTCTCCAGGACTGCTTCTACCAAGGGCTCAACCCTGAGAGCCTCATCTGCGGTAACCACATAGCAAGGTATGTCTCCTAACCCTTTGTCATATGGAAAACAAGAAGACTTTGATTAGCACTGATACCTGGTGTAGTTGCTGGGGTTATGTTGACTTGAATTTTCAAATTGGTGAACAAGAACCTAGTAATAAATTTGGTGCCAAAAGAGCAGGGGTGGGCAACTCTGGCCCTTAAGTTCTACTCTCAAAACTTGCTGAGCTGGAAAAAAAGAGACTGATTTTAGGGGAAAATGCCTTACATGTAATCCTCTGACACCAGGGGTGGACAACTCTGGCCCTCAAGGTCCACTTTCCAGCAGAGTTTAGCTGCAACCCTAATCAAACCCGAAAAATCTAAACCAAAGTCTTCAGGATTACTTGGAGAATTTCAGGTAGGTATGTTTAGGGTTGGAGCTAAATTCTGCAGGACATAGCATTTGTCCACTTTTAGAGAATTTTGTATCCGACATTTTTTGCCTTTCCCAGCTCAGCAAGTACAGTACTTATTTACTTGTGCAATAGCTCAAGGTAATCCTTGTAAACATCCTTTTAACAAACTCTTTGACTTTCCGTCTGCAGAACATGACGTACGATCTACACAACTCGTCGTACGACTTCTACAACGGCACGCCGTGGTTTGTCTATGACTGCACCATCCACCTAGATCCGGATGGCCGACGGATCACTCTTTTCCTCCTTTACCTAGTGCTCTTCATGGTAGGGTTGGCCGAAAACACCCTGGTGGTGTGGGTGAACTGGCGAAGGCGGCATTCGGCGAATGGCGTGCTGTTCTGCGTCATCAACGTGAGCTTGTCCGACTTGATGGTGATCTTCACCATGCCCTTCTTCATGCTGGAGGTGACCTTGGACAAGGTTTGGCTGTGGGGCCGCTTCCTTTGCAAGGTCACGCACCTTGTATATGTCATAAACTTCTACAGTAGCTCCTTCTTCCTGGCCTTCATGACCTTGGAGCGATACCTGTCCCTGACGCGGCCCAACAAGCCCGCCTGCTTTCCGACGCAGCACAAACGCCGCTGGTTTCTCTGCGCTGGGATCTGGCTCCTGTCGCTTGTGCTGGCCTTGCTAGAAAACGTCCACGTCGACTTGTTGGAGTGGGACGAACCAGGCTGCTACTTGGTTCCTGAGCAGTACTACACGGAGTGGTTCGTGTCGGTTTCCTTCCTCTGCCTGATATTCCAGTTCCTGGGTCCGGCGTCTGTCATCATCACCTGCAACGTCCTGATCGCCCGAGCCATCCGCAGAGTCCCGGACATCCAGAATCGCCGGGACGTGTGGTTGGTGCACATGTACTCACTGGTCTTTGTGGCCTGCTGGCTACCGTACCATTTGGTGTTGTTCTTGTTGACAGTGGACGACCTGGACCCGCACCTGTTCTCCTGCAACATGGTCGGGGTGCTGTACTTCTCTTTTAGCCTTGTGCAATGCTTGTCGCTCTTTCACTGCATTGCCAACCCAATCCTCTACAACTTCCTCAGTAAGAGCTTCCGCAACAATCTAATAAATGCAGTGATCAGCCGCATCTCTTTACCGCCGACCAGTGCGCCAACTAACGCTGTAGCCGACAACGCAGGGACAACGGCGGTAAAAGAGCGGAAGCTCAGTAACGCCAGCACGAGTCACTCTGACATTGGCGCGTGAAGAGGGAAACTCCTAAATGACGATTTGGTGAAACACAGCACATGAATGTGCTACAAAAGAAATGGCCTTGTTGAGGCCATTGTTTTTGGTCAGTTGCCTGGTAACTACCCATATTTTCTCCTGTTTTTCTCACCTCAGTATTGCTAACAGTGCAAGGAAGGAAATATTGTCAACCTTTCGTAACCTTTATTTCCACCGGTTCCTATTGTTATATCTAGGAACTCCTTGACAAGTAATAAAAGCTCTGTCCACATGCCAGTATTTGTACAAAGACTGTTTTGATTGTTCTGCTCAACAAAAACTTTCACTTAGCTGTCCATATGCGCAATCACGACACCTAGAGCTGTTTTATTGGCCTTTGAGCTCAGCAACTTACGTGTACATATTGTGGATGTGATGTCATGGGGAAAAAATTGAATACAATTTTTTTTAAACATGTTTGAGTGAAAGTGGCAAATTGTGTAGGCTAATACCAATTCTTGTTGGCATGTGCTGCTCCAATGACAAAAAAAAAGTCCACTATAGAAATGTATGTTGGATATAAATACGCTGTATTTAACATTGATAAGTAGTGGTGCGGTGTTAAAATTATGTGAATATGGCCAAAATTTAACTGTTAAAAAGACAAGACTCTGGGAAGTTTCGTAAGTACTGAGTTTATTCAGAACACTCCAGTTGTAGTAAAAGAGAATTAATTTCTGATAGTGACACTGAACATGAATAAATCATATAAATAACACTGAAGTAATATAAGGCAATTGTTTCATGTTGAAAATAAAATGTAGTATCAAGTCAAGATATTTAGTTTTATGATCACAACATCAGCTGCAAACCGTGGCAAAGCACTGGTAATGTGCATTTTTTTCCTAAAAATAAAACTGATTGACTGATAAAAATGTTAAAACCAGGCATTTTATAAGGTTCAGCCGGTATTTTCTGTGCTACATTACAAATAAAGCTATACCAAACACAATGTCCCAGCAGTTTTGAATAGATACTTTGTGGTTTGACCAATGACATCAATTATGAATGCACCGGTGTGCTAAATCCATTTTGAATTGAACAAGAAATGATTTAAATGTACAATGTAAAATTGTCCAATATAAGAAAGAAAAAGCATATAACTGCTGCGAAAATGGTACAGAAGAGCATCACAGCTTTCTAAAGAGAATTGTTATTTATTCATGACACAAAACCATTTGCACAAAACACTCTGATATGTCCCGAGTGAAGAAAGTGAACACTGCAATATGAACTGACTTATGTATTAGCACCTCAGTCTGAATCGCTTCTCTTTTCCGAATGAAATGAATTATGCAAGAAGAGTTTTGCTTTATGTATAACATCCAAACTATATGATACTACATCTCATAAACGAGTAACTATTTCTAATTTAGTCTGTCAATGATATACAACACTACTATAAAAATAATGGCAATTCTATAAAAGAAAAGTACCGTTATATATTTATTTATTTTTTGAAAAAAGGACCATTTTATTTATATCCTTGACCTAGACTAGAGCACTGCTTTATTTATCAGAAAACATAGAAAAAAGTCTTGGTTTATTCTCAGCGTGCACTTGCATTGGAATATCCAGAGACCTTTAGCTTATTGTGATAAGAGTTGCCAGAAGAGTATACAGAGGTAATCGCAGATCAGCACTTGGAAAAGCATCCCATTAAAAATGACTTCGTTAATTAAAACATTACAAATCAAAAGTTTGGACACACTTGACTGAATTTGTTTGCGGTGATCTTTAAAAATCCTCTGATCTAACTGCTTATACTAAAATGGTTGACATTGGCTTTGAAAACAAAAATAACTTGTGTCTGTGCAAGAATTTCTTTACAAAACTAAATTTGTGTTTGGACCAGTGACTGAAAAGGAGCCAAAAAGTGCTCAGCACACATGTAAACTTCTTTAATAGTGTTCAAACACTGTCTCAATGTTCTTGGCAAAGGTTTGAAGAAACTACATTATAAGATGTTTATTTTTTGTTATTTCATAGCTTTGATTACTTTATTATTATTCTAAAATGTAAAAAAAGAAATAGAAATAAGTAGGTATGTCCAAACGTTTGATTGGCAATGCAGCCTTGCTCAGTTTCTCTTGCCATCAAGTGGTCAAGTATCAGCACTACATTTTTAAAATAAAGTTTTACCTTTAATTTAGTCTTTAAAAAACAAGAATCGTTCTCATTCTGTACACGAACGACACAAAGACGATCACGTTAAACACTTAATTAAATTCTAAGTCTACTGTCATTTGTCCTCAACATACTAAGTAAACGTGGGCACACAGTGTGACGGAGCGTTCAGAGAGGGCGAGTTTCAGGTGTCCATGTTAGGGACGGGCTCTTTAGAGTGGTCGTTATACATAAAGGTCTCCTCGATGTTGAAATCGGGTGGCAGCTGGTCTTTGTGGAGCTCCATGTGCGAGGAAACCATCTTAAGCGTGGAGAAAAACAGGCCGCAGACGGTGCAGCGGTACATGAGGGCGCCCGAGTGCGTCTTTAGGTGGCAGATCATGGTGGAACGGCCACGGAAGAAGCGCAGGCATACTTTGCACTGGTAGGGCTTCTCGCCCGTGTGGATGCGAAGGTGGTATGTGAACTCGCCTGAGTGCGCGAAATGCTTACCACAATACCGGCAGCGATACAGTTTTTCCCTAAGCCCTGTTCCGCCACCAGAGTTGCCGTTCAGTACGAGTCCGGCAGGAAACGGGGCACCGCCGTGAGCAATTTTGTCCTGCAGGTTGAAGCCTAGGCTTAAGTTGTAACCTGCTTTACCCGAGCCGCTCGCCTCCATAGGCGAGGAGGAGGATGAGGAGTATTCGAGGATCTGGTCTGCCTTGCGTTTGGCCGGCCATACCTGGCTGCCCTGGAGCTCGTTCGAATGCACGCTGAGATGGTAATGAAACGCGGTTTCCGAGCGGAAGGTCTGCGGACACAGGAAGCAGCGTAGCTCGGCCTGGCCTTCTCCGCTGGTCTCCGGGCTGCCGTCGGCCCGTTTCACAGACGCTCCTTCCTCTGTGTGTAGAGACAGGTGTCTTTCCAGCAGCGCACTCTCCAAGAAGGGGCTGGCGCATTGTGGACAAGTGTAAATAGGAAAGAGGTGTGTCAGTGTGTGCCACAGGAGGGCGCATCGAGAGGGCTGAGACAGCTGGCACACTCCACAGCGTAATGTACTCAAGCATGCGTGGCTCTGAACGTGGTCCCTGACAGCCTGAGGAAAAAAGAATCCATTATTAATATAACCAAATCAATCAAATTAATTGAAATAAATTGTTAATACTAAAGTAAAAAATTACAATGGAATTTGGACTATATCATCTTTCTACAGTATTTAGTAGTGTTGTCAACATAAATACTAAACAATAATAAATACTATAATATTAACAATATTACAATATCTCAAGATAATCTTACAAAAATTTGAGATTTGTCTAAGGGAATTTCACTGAAGTCATTTTCTTCCTTTACCAAGCAAGTTAGCAGCATGTTACCAATTGAATACTGTTTTTTTATGTTATATTGAAATAAATAAATAAAATATTTAAAATTGTTTTTGAATATTTATTGTATTATTTGATACAGCAGTTTTTATTTGTTCTATTACTTAGAAATAGTTAGTTTTTTTTATTACTGTTTACTTGAGTAAATACTTGAAACTGTAATTAATGCAGAATGTTAGACTTTTTGCATATTATTTTAATACTGAATCATATTAACTATATTTCTATATTTAAAATTCATGACACATACACACTACCATAGTATGTATACATTTTTTAAATTTAGTTTTTATTTGTATATTTTCAATTTTCATATATTTTCAGTTTTTAGTTTAAGTTTTAGTCATTTTATGTGCTTTTGTCATTTTTATTTATTTCTTTTATTTACCTTTAATTTATTCGCTTTAGTTATCAGTTTTAGCTATATAGTAATTTTAGTACTTCAACATATATTATTTCAGTAAGTTGGCAAGTTTTTTAAGTTTCTCCTATACTTACATATTCCTATATTTCAACTTCAACTTATATTTTTGCAATAAGTGGCCAAGTTTTTAAAGTTTTTCATTGAATATTTACATTTTATTTCAGTTTTAATTCAATTAACGATTTCAGCTTTATTTCAATTAATTAGGTTTACAAGGCTTTAAAAAAAACAAACAAACAAACCTGTTCCACTAACCTTAAAATCATTCACCATAGATTTAGCACAGATGGTGCACTGCAGTTCCCCTCCTTGTCGTTGGGAGGCTCCGTTCAGTTGGTCTGGATTTTGAGGGGCGCACTTGGCAGCTGACTGACGCCTGTGGTGAATCAGTGCGGATTCAGTCCGAAACTGATGCTCGCAAACGTCGCAGGAGAAGAGCAAGATGCCCACGTGTGTGAGGGCATGAGCAACAGCAGCAGCGCGGTCTGAGAAGGAGGTGCCACACACCTGACACGAACCCGTTTCCGAGAGGTGCGTCTCAGCGTGAGTTTGTATGACGGAGTTTTCCACCGGAAGTAGCATACCGCACGATTTGCATGGCTGCGATGACGGCAGTTGTCCGAGAGACGCCCTGTTTTCACCATTCTCAATGCACATCAAGTCCTCGTCGTCCTCTTCCTCCACAATGAAGTGCTCCTCCTCGTCACTCAACTCAATGATGTCCTCTGAAAGTGCTCGCCACTGATCGCCACCCTCCGTCTGCTCTTCCTGTAGTCGGTGACTCTTCCTAGAAAGATCTTCCTCAAAAAAATCGGAATCTTTGATTGGTCCCGCAACGGCCCCCAGCTGCAAACTGTCCAAAGGGTCACTGGAGGATGACGAAGGGGCGCAGGTTTCACCTCCAAGCTGGGCTGAAGAATCAGGGACGGAACATTGTTCCTGAGGCCCAAATGTTGATTTGCTACCATTGACAACAAGCTGGTCCACTGAGTTACTTCCTCCATCCTCTCCTTCATCCTCCCGCTCGGTCTTGAGCTGCAAAGTCAGACCAGGAAGAGCGTCTGTAGAACGGTTACTGTCCAAAGGACTCGGCTTGTTGGTCACCTGTTGATTGTAACCCAAATGTACCTGTAAGTCTTCATTTTTTGGAGACTGGGTGGTCAAGTGGGAGCGATTCAACCTGCCGTTCCTGCCTTGAGATACCGGAGATGGAGTTACAGGAGTGGGAGCGGCTGAAGAAGACAACGAGGAGCAGGATGCTGCAGAGGACGAGCTAACAGACGCAGCCACGGCATTGACCGACACCATATCGCTTTCCAAATCCCCTTCAGCAACCGGGTCTCCAGAGCTGGAGTTCTGCAGGTCAGGAAAGGTGGCATGGCAAGCGTTCACCAACTCCCTCACGCCAAGCCTTTCTGCCAACTCATACAGCACACCCACATCGATCAAGTCCGTGAAAATCTCACCCGTGTAGATAAAAGTCAAGACCTTCTCGAAATTGGCAGCAGAAACAAAGTCCAGAGAGAAGGTGGTGGGAACGGCATCCTGGTTGCTGGAACCTCTGGAGAAGAGGCTGCTAAAGTGCGTGCAAGAGCACGCCAACACCACACGATGAGCCGGGAAGGAACGGCCTCCGACCTGGAGGACGATGTCGCACAGGATGCGAGACAGGCGGCAGCGGTTGAGCTCGGAGAGGAGACGGGCCGCGTGGCCAGAGCCCTGCAGCCTGATCCGCATGCCTGGCAATTCCAACAAAAGCCAGGATTTGGACTGAAACACAGAAGTGAATGGAAAAATGGATGAGATTCAGATAAATTATAATAGCAAGGTGCATATTCTGTAATTATATAAAGTTATATTAAATATAACTATACAACCTGACTGTTTGAAGTCACTATGAAACGGCATTTAGTAATGTGACAAATCTGCACGTGACTTTTAACCATCAGGAAATGATTAGATCATGAAAAGTGGTCTTTATGGCTATAGCTGGAATATCATGTTAGCATACTACTCTAAATTCTGCTGCAGTATATACAGTAGGCCTGTCACGATAACAACTTTTTGTTGTGCGATATATTGCCCCAGAAATAATTGCGATAAGCGATATTATTGTCATTCCATCTACAGATTTTTCCCTGACCTTCTTTTCTCTGTAAATGAACGGTGCACACTATTGCTGAAAAACACAATCACTACCTGGCAGTCAGTATGCACAAAGGCACAGATCCCTAAACAAGACCATATCTGCAGATGAAACTTTTTTTGTAGAAGCATTTTTTAAATTTGAACTAGCACCTCATGACTACACCACGTTATGTACGAGAAGCTGCAAAAGACACAGGCGCAAGTGGAATGTACAAAACATGGTGACATTACATTTTAAGTAAATATAATGGGCGATATATTGTGTCAACAAAAATTATTGAGGTCATGTACATATATTGCGCGATGAGTCAATATATTGATTATTGCGACAGGCCTAATATACAGTGTGTATCATAGTACACTGTGCACAATATTCAATTTTCTGTATG